AAGGGAAGTAGTGGCCCTTAGTTAGCTTAGGTGATCTAATGAACATCTCTTCATGGATGAGTCGGGCCACATCAAAATCATTGTGGGACATGAAACAGTAGATTGCGGATGCCCGTGGTAGATTAACATCTGTCGTGTTGCTGGATAGCAACAATCGACTGTTGACAATGGTGAGCCAACACTTAGCCTCCCAATTCAGATAGTGAGAGTTGAGAGTAATCCTGTTCTTGATCCATAGGTGTTCTCCGTCCGGCACATAGATAGTATCGAGAAGAGTTCCCCACAAGGCCCGTGTACCGCTAAAAGTACGATAAGGATCAAATTCACCCCTAAACACTGGCAGCCTGTATACCCTGAGGATGGTGTCAAGGGATGCATTTACTGGGGTGTTGCGCACCGTCACAACCCCATTCTCATGTTCTGGCAAGTTCGCATAGAACTCCCTTACTAGTTGAACATTAGCCTCCTTCGGTACCTCGAAGAAGATGTCCAGGTGACACCGCATCAGCTCATTAAACATATTGGGGCATTCCACCTCCAAAGTCGTTCAATCAATGTGCATCTTAGGTTGCAACTTCTTAGCTGCTTTCTTGTTGTACCTATCCTCCACTGATTTGGATACAAACCGAGTGCTATCGAACTGAGGTGCACTGGCTTGGCTCCTAGCTCGTGAGGAGCCTCCCAGTCCGCTAGTGGAGGGTCCGGTGTTTCATCTCTTCCTGGAAGAACTCATTGTACCTGTCATACAACGAAACGCCTATTAGTGAGTGCGCAAAATATGTGACTATGGATGATTACTCAAACTTCACCATAACCATGTCACAATAGCTCCTTATATCTCCATTGGGTCAATTTTCCAAAAACCTTGTGAGCAGGGCACTATCCAAAAACATATAGCCCTTATGTGTACATCAAAGCTCCTCCCCAATCAAGTATACTACCACACCACACACCCCACACTCACTTCATTCAATCACCCACCAATAAATACCTTTTCAAACATGCAACGCACAGCCCTTTTACCAATCAAACTCAAAAACGAAATTTAAAAGCAAAAACAAGAAGAAAACGAATATACCAACAATTACATCCCAACACAATATAAAACTACATAAACTACAACACAATACAAAATAAAAGAGAGGGAAGAAGTGAGGAACATACCGTAGTTGAAGAATGGTTGAGAGGAATGGAGGTGGGAGATGTTAGTATGAGGAAAGAAGAAGAAGAAGAAGAGAGTATTTGGGTGGTTAGGGTTTAGAGAGAGGGAGAGATTGAAAANCTTTTTTTTTTTATTTTCTTTGTAGGTTTTTTTTCTTTTCTTGAGAGTTTCAATGTTTTTTCGGAATAAATGTTCAGCTCCATTTTTTCTCTAAATTAAGTTATAAAAGCGCAAATTAACTCCCAATAACAATTAACGCACAATTAAGTATTAATTAAGCATAAAATTGTATATTTGGACATTAAATGCTAAAAATGGAAACGATGCCTATTTTTGTAATTTTAAATTTTTGTAAAATAAATTTAATTACTATCAATTGTAGAATTAAATCCTACATGCAAAATGCGACATATTTTTGTATTTTTTATTAATTTAGCAAATAAACACGCACAGACAAATACAAATAATTATTCAAAATATCACAAAATTGCACACCAAAGAAAAATCATTTTATTTTTGAATTTTTTGGGAGTAATTCTCATATAGGGCAAAAATCACGTGCTTACAGTGGGTTTAAAATCTTGAGGCAGAAAGTTTACGCCTCACCGCGGTTACCGCGGTCGCGGTGAGATAAAAAATTCGAGGCAGAATATTTGCCTTCCACCGCGGTCGCGGTGCTGGCGCTTTTTTTTTTAACACACTAACAACAACACTCGTGGGTTGCCTCCCATGCAGCGCCTGATTTAATGTCACGGCACGACGCAAACATTTGATCCTCACTCCTCATTCGCGTACTGGGGCTCTTCCAAAGTGATTACTACTCTATCCCTTTTTTCTTCAGCCATTCCAAGGTAATGTTTCAACCTTTGCCCATTTACTGTGAACCTATTTGTCCCATCTTCTGATTCAATCTCTACAGCTCCACTTAAGAACAATTGCACCACTCTGAAGGGTTCTGACCATCAGAGCTTTAACTTACCTGGGAACAATCTCAATCTCGAGTTGTATAACAACACTAGATCTCCGGGTTTGAAGTTTCGATCCAAGATGTGCTTATCATGCATTAATTTCATCCTTTCTTTGTATAATCTAGCACTCTCAAAGGCCTGGAACCTGAATTCCTCGAGTTCATATAACCCAGTGATTCTGTTAGTCCATGTTGTCTCTATGTCTAAGTTTAACTACCGCAATGCCCAAAATGCTTTATGATCTAGCTCAACTGAGAGGTGGCCTGCCTTACCAAACACCAACTTGTACGGTGACATACCAATTGGGGTTTTGAAGGCTGTGCGGTATGCCCACAATGCATCATCCAATTTCTTTGCCCAGTCAGTCCTTGTTGCATTCACTATTTTTGTGAGGACACTTTTAATCTCCTTGTTGGACACTTCAACTTTCCCGCTCGATTGTGGGTGGTACGGGGTGGTCACTTTATGACGAACTCCATATTTTTCCAACAGCCGTGTGAATGCTCTATTGCAGAAATGGGTTCCACCATCACTGAGTATAGCTCTTGGGGTACCAAAATGTGTGAAAATGTTTTTCTTTAGAAAGCCTAGTACCCCTTTTGCATCATTGGTCGGGAGAGTCACTACTTCGACCCACTTGGAGACATAGTCAACTACTACCAATTTGTACTTATTACCATACAAGCTGACGAATGGCCCCATGAAGTCAATCCCCCACATGTCAAAAATCTCCACCACTTGAATTGTGGTCATTGGCATCTCGTGTCTACGAGATATATTGCCAGTCCTTTGGCAATCATCGCAGTTTTTAACCCAAGCATGGGTATCCTTGAACAGAGTAGGCCAGTACAAGCCTAACTCCAACACCTTAGCTGTTGTCCGAATTCCTCCAAAGTGTCCACCATATGGTGAAGCATGGCAAGCCTACAAAACAGAATGTTGATCTTTCTCGGGGATACACCGCCGGATCATGTTATCTATACATATTTTAAACAATAGAGGTTCATCCCAATAGTAATACCGACAATCAAGAAAGAACTTTTTCTTTTGAATTGAGGAGAGTTCATAAGGTATAATACCACTTGCTAAATAATTAGCAATATCAGCATACCAAGGTGCCTCCTCCATGGTCATTGCTAGTAACTGTTCATACGGGAATGTCTCTGTTATATCCTCAACCTCTACCTTCTTTTCAGCTCCTTCCAACCTTGAGAGGTGGTCAGCTACTTGGTTCTCTGTCCCTTTTCGGTCACGTATTTCCAGATCGAATTCTTGTAACAGAAGAACCCAGCGAATCAAGCGTGGCTTTGACTCCTTTTCTATCAGGTACCTAATTGCTGCATGGTCAGTGTAAACAATAACTTTCGAGCCAATCAAGTATGACCTGAATTTGTCGAATGCAAAAACAACAGCCAACATCTCCTTTTCCGTCATAGTGTAATTGAGTTGTGCACCGCTTAGCATTCTGCTTGTGTAATAAATCGGGTGCATTAGTTTACCCCTTCGCTGCCCCAAGACTGCTCCTATAGCATAGTCACTTACGTCACACATGAGCTCAAACTGTTGCTCCCAGTTGGGTGCAACAATGATGGGTGTAGTCACCAATCTCTTCTTCAACTCCTCAAATGCCAACCTGCAATCATTAGAAAACATAAAGGGGTGATCCTTTTCAAGGAGTTTGCATAATGGGTTAGCAATTTTGGAGAAATCTTTTATGAATCGCCTATAGAACCCGGCGTGCCCAAGGAAACTTCTCACCGCCTTGACTGAAGTTGGCGGTGGTAGTTTTTCAATCACGTCAACCTTAGCATGGTCGACCTCAATTCCTTTACTGGACACTCGATGTCCTAGGACTATCCCTTCCTATACCATAAAATGGCGCTTCTCCCAGTTCAACAATAAATTTGTCTCCACACATCTTTTGAGCACTCTTCTTAAGTTGTGAAGACAGTCCTCGAATGAATCTCCCACCACGGAGAAATCATCCATAAAGACCTCTATAATATCCTCCACCATGTCTGTGAAAATGGCTAACATACACCGTTGAAATGTCGCCGGTGCATTGCAAAGCCCAAAAGGCATTCTCCGAAAGGCAAAGATTCCATACAGACAAGTAAAGGATGTTTTCTCTCTATATTCGGGGGCTATTGATATCTGATTGTACCCCGAATATCCATCCAAGAATCAGAAGTGCGATCGCCCGGCCAGCCTATCCAATATTTGGTCAATGAAAGTCAAGGGAAAGTGGTCCTTCCGGGTGGCTGTGTTCAATTTTCGGTAATCCATGCAAATCTACCATCCCGTGACTGTACGATTTGAGATCAACTCATTGTTCTCATTTTGCACAACAGTCATTCCCCCTTTTTCGGCACACATTGGACAGGGCTGACCCAATTGCTATCAGAGATAGGGAAGATGATTCCCGCATCTAACCATTTGATCACTTCCTTCTTTACTACCTCTTTCATTATCGGGTTCAGCCTTCGTTGATGTTCTCTGGAAGGTTTGTGCCCTTTTTCCAAGAGAATCTTATGCATACAGAAGGCTGGGATGATACCATTTATGTCTGCCATGGTCCAGCCAATGGCAGTCTTGCTTTCCTACAGTACTTGTAAGAGCTATTCTACCTGCACATCTAGCAAACTGGATGATATAATAACAGGCAAAGTAGAATCGGGGCCTAAGAAAACGTACCTGAGGTGAGATGGGAGCAGCTTCAGCTCCAACTTAGGTGGTTCCTCTACTGATGGCTTTGCTGGAGGTGTAGCCTTTTTTTCTAATTCAAGGGACTCGAACTGGGGTTCTCTTTTCCAGAATCCTTGGCCTTCAAGTATCATGACCCACTCAGTTAACCCTTCACTATCCATTTCTTATAAATTTGTCAGACATGCCTCCAATGGATCTTTAGCAGTCAGGGTCACATCATCTTCTTGCAGGATCACATCCACTACCTCCACTAGAGAGCAATTAGCATATTCACTGGGTCTCCTCATAAATTGCTGAACATTGAATATGACTTTTTCATCGTTCAGTCTCATTTTTAATTCCCCAGCCTCACAATCGATTAGTGCTCTCTTAGTGGCCAAAAATGGCCTACCTAAAATGATAGGTATCTTCTCATCTACCTGACAGTACAGAATAACAAAGTCTGCAGGGAACACGAACTTCCCCACTTGCACCAGCACATCATCAAGAATCCCAGTAGGCCTTTTTACTGTGCGGTCAGCCAGCTGCAGCAGCATCGAAGTCGGTCTAGCTCTGCCAATGCCCAGTTTGGTGTAAACAGCCAGAGGCATCAAATTTATGCTGGCTTCCAAATCACATAATGCCTTTGCAAAGGCATAACTCCCAATCGTGCATGGAATAGTGAAGCTACCTGGGTCTGACATCTTTTGAGCCATCGGTTTAGTCACTACTGCGCTGCAAGTCTGCGTGAGAGTTACTGTGGATAGGTCTTGCAAATCAAACTTCCGTGACATTAGGTCTTTCATCATCTTCGCATAACCTGGCATCTTCCTCAAGGCATCCACCAAAGGAATATTCAACTGAATTTGACGCAGCATCTCCATGAATTTCTTGTATTGATCTTCCTTCTTTTGTTTTACCAGTCTATGAGGGAATGGTGCAGGTATCACCCTTTGTGCACTGTTTGCTGGCTTCTCTCTGTTGGGGTTCTGTAGCACAAGAGGCACTAGCTGTTTTGCAGCTTGTTCATTTACCTTAGCCTTACCCTTTTCATCTTGACCTTGTTCAACCACCACTTCAGTCAGATTTGATGGTTCATCTACCTCTAGTAGAATTGGAGTGGCTGGTGTAATCTCTTTGCTGGCTTGTGCAACCTCCTGCTCTTTGTCTAAATCTCTCTCATTCCGGAGACTTACTGCCATCAGCTGATTCGGGTTTTGCTCCTTGGGGTTAATATTTGTATCCGCTGGCAATGTTCCTTGGGGGCGGTTGTTTAAAGCCATAGACAACTGCCCCAACTGAGTTTCAATGTTTTTATAGCTGAATCATGTACTGCCAACTTTTCTTACATCTTATCATTTGTCCCAATGAGTTGCTGGAGCATCCCCCTGATTTCTACCATGTTGTTATCTTGCTGCTGAGGAGGTGGCTGATATGTCAACTGTTGCTGGTTCTGTTATGGGTAGCCCTGTTGTCTCTGGTGGTATAACAACATTTGGCCTTGAGCTTGAATGCCCCCAGGCTAAGGCATGTTGGGTCTGTATTGTTGATTTGGTGTCGGTCTCCACTGCTGTCCTCTTTGTATCTGACCCCTAAATTTGTTAACATAATTCATATCTTCCCATGCCCCTTGATTTTCACCTTCTCCGCTCCATGAACACACATAAGACTGATTAACACAGGGTGTACACAGTCCTCCATTTGTCGTGTCAACAATATGCACCTGTTTGGTACCCATCTCATCTATCTTCTTTGTCAAAATACACATCTGAGTCATGAGTGTGGCCATATTCTCTGCATGTGAATTATTTGGGTCAAGAAGAACTGAATGCACTATGGGTGCTAGTGTTGTACCTCTAGTCATCCACCCCGAATTCTGGGACATCTTGTCAAGAAGGACTTTGCACTCGGTAAATGTCTTACTCAAAAATGCACCTCTAATTGAAGCATCCACATTGGCCTTTAGATTATCAGCTAACCCCATGTAGAATCTATGGCCAAGCATCTGGTCTGGAATGCCATGGTGAGGACACTTCACCAGCATTCCTTTAAATCTTTCCCAAGTTTCTTGCAAGGTCTCAGTTGGTTGCTGCTTGTACTGCAATATTTCATCAATCTACCTTGCAGTCTTGTTGGGCGGATAGAACTTATTCAGGAACTGCTTTACTAATTCCTCCCAGGTGACAATGGAATTGACTGGGAGCGAATTCAGCCAAGTCTGAGTTTCTCCAGTTACAGAGAACGGGAACAGTAATAGCTTGATAGCTTCTGGGGTCACATTTGGCTACTTTTGAGTGACACAAATTGACAGAAAATTTTTCAAATGTTGCTGAGGGTCTTCAATGTGTGACACGGAGAACAATCTTTTATTCTGTAGCAGATGCAGCATGATGTTATTGGTGATCTGGAATGTCTCCGCTTGAATTGCAGGCACAGTTATGGCAGTTAACAGGTTGTCAGCTGTGGGTTGAGCCCAATCATAAAGTGCAGCTTCTGGCACAAGAGGTGCCACCACTCTGAAGTTTGGGTCATCTGGCTCATCCCTGATGTTTCCGTTGACGTTCTCTACGTCACCCATGTCAATTTCAAGCTGGTGTGGTTGTTGTGGTTGTTGGATCCTCTTGTTGGCACGGTTCAATACCCTGAATGTTTTCTCGGGGTCTGAAAGTCCTTCAAGCAGTTCTCCAGTCCTCGAAGAATTTCTAGGCATACACCTGAATTCCATAATAGTTCAAACGTTAGAATTTCAATGAAAATTGTTTAACACCTTTGAAAATTGATTTGACTAATAATTTTAACACTACTTCTAAATTGTAATAAACAACGCCGTTAGCTCCCCGGCAACGGTACCAAAATTTGATAACGCCCAACTATGCCTTTTAAAGGACAAAGCGGTCGCTGCAAATATAATTCGGTTTTAAGTTCGGAATCGAATCCTTAGGGAACTAACCTATCTATTACACTCTACGGCAATGTTATTATCAACTCAATCAATCTCTAGATGCAAGATTTTTGATCAATAAAGATTGGGTTTTTGTTTAACTACTTCAACTACTATTAAAAACAACAGTACGCTAAAACAAAGTTAATTCAATGGTAAAAAAAATGTCTAGGGCAGTGATTTCCTCAATTGCTAGTTTAGGTCTTGACTCTTCTGCTATAATCTCGCCATAATACTCTATGAGGATTAAGAGTTATGGGTTATCGTAATTATCTCTCGATCAACTACAATAATTTACTAGAGCATTCTCTCGAACTACTCTAGCTGACAATATGTGTGCAACTCTAAACTATTCCACCAAAGTTTTGTTATCTCTAAACCCACTTTTAAGTTCAAGTGAATCTCTTCAATTACCCAAAAGCGGTGTTGTTCAATAACTATCTAACCTAATACTCTTTCTCAAGCAATATAAGGTAATTAAACACGATTAATCAAGGGCTCATTCAATTAATCACCATACAAAATGTAGTTGAACAATCATATCATAAATCCGGCTCGATTATAACAACTTGAGTCAAAACTTCAACCAACAATTGGTTCCATCAACCCTAGATAAGTAATTAGCTACTCATAACTAAATAAGAGAAAACTATTAAATTGTTCATAATGTAAATTGCAAGAATTAAAAGGAGATAGAAAAACTCTAATGTTTGGTTGATCTTCTCACTCATGTTCTTGCCTCCAAAAGTAGTCTAAAAATTAGCTTAGCCCCATCTTGAGCGAGTTTCTAAAGCATATAAGGGTTTTGCAAAAGTTTTCCCGATTTTACACTTTGGTCCTCAAACTTTCCAGCAACGTGAACAGTGCACCACGGTCGCGGTCAACCGCGGTCGATCGCGGTGAATGCTGACCTTTCTGCCTTACGTTGTTAATCTACCGCGGTGGCCTTCTTGCCCAGGCCATTTATGCTTTTTTGTGTTCGGGTACTTCTCGAGTGACGTTTTTCTTCATATTATCGCCTCCAAATTACTTCATGTTGCTTCCTCTCATATAATATTCCCTGTTAAACAAAAGAACACTATTTAGAGCATTTTTATTGGCAGTTTATCTATAAAACAACAACGAAATATAGTCATATTAAGGTGTAAATATCAACTATATAGCCTACTATCACTCGGCTAGCTCAAGAGATAGATAATTGTCCGTCCCAAAAGTTATGTCGATTGTCAAAGGCCATATTAGAAACAAATGGTCTCCCACCCAACCAAAGTGGGGCACTAACACATATATATTGCAATGGAGTGGGGCCAAATCAGGCAAATACAAGTTTAGCTTGTGAGGCTAGAGAGTCTGGAAGAAAACAATGAGTGACTGCCTTCACTCTCAGTAATTAAAGAAAGACGAAACTTGTGTATAAGGTCATGCGACTCTTGGGAGCTCGTAAAGCATATAATATATATATATATAGGCTTTGAGCTTTGCTTCTAATTCTGGGTAAAATTATCATTATAGTATTTATTTATTGATTGATGCTGTTAAAGTAACTCTCCAAGTTGATTTCGCTACTTGCAAGAAGTCATTTAAATATTTAAAAAATGGTCTATTTTCATTGGAAGTTGTATCATCAATTTGCTATAATAGTTGTAGCACACAGTATGACATTTTTATTCTTCTTAATTTGTTTCTTTTTTGGTGCTTGTGTGTTGTCCATATGTATTCCAGAACGATTTTTCCATAAGCTGATTTGACATGTTTCTGGAAACATATGGGACATACCATGCATAAATAATTGGTTGTTTAATTTGTGGTTTCTTTATTTGTTTGATTTGTTCAAACATATTTACTAGTATAATATCGTTGAAGAACTCTTATTGATCTTTTGAATCAGCAGACACTAGACAACAATATTAAGAGTTATCCAATGTCTATTATGGTTTTGAATGTTAAACTGATAGGGATATGGGCATATGGGTCGCTCTTATCCTTAAACTAAATTTTCGGTGGCGTTCCGTTTGGGGCCTGACTTAATTATTTTAGAGATAAAATTTAAACTCTAGTGATGAATTATTTGTTGATCAATATTGGAGCTGCAATAAGTGAATAACCATACGATTATTCGTTGACAAAGCTAATACCGTGCATGCGAGTGACAAGATTAAGCAATTTTACGAATTCTTCAAATTATGGAGCATCGAAAGGAAGAATTTTCGGTATTTTCGCCATAAAAAATATATATATTTTTCCTAAAAATTATCACCTTTTTCGGAATCAGTGTTTAGCCATGAAAATTTCAAATTTAACTTGAAGTTAAATCTTGGAATTTTTCGGAAATTTGAAAAACTCCAAAAGGTTGTTTTTCAAAATATTTACTTCAAATCGCTCACAAAAATTCAAAAATAGCTCCAATTATATTCATGTCCAAACATAACTCTAATTTTTAAATACTTTTTTCAATTACAAAAATCACTTTTTTCTGAATTTCACAAATCTTATGCCCAAACTCCCGCTTAATTTGCTCAATTCACCAATTTTACTATCATTCATTTCAGTTTCTCATAAAAAAAACTATTTTATTTTTTCCTAAACTCTTCTTGAATTGATCATTCTCAAAAGTCTATATGAAGATAATCTTTTTTTTTAAATGATAATCTTGGTATGTTATACTAGTAACTTTTACTTTAAGATCATGAGATTTTTTTTGTTTTTTTACAGTTTAAAATTTCGTATTTAAACAAATTAAAACACATAAAATGAAACGGAAAAAAACTACTAAATGCTAATTGATGTGTTCATAACGGTAGAATATCCTTGTGGTCAGCTTTCATTCAATCGAAAGCAGGCATGGCCCAGGTTCTGTTTTCAACGGTTTACAACCATTCCTATCTTTCTTCTTTCTTGTTTGATATTTTGATAACGACACTCACGATTAGCATGCGTCTTTTTTACGTGTTAGTTCCCGTCTTTAATATATACATATAAAAAATATACAAAAAATATATTATATATGTTCGACTATTATTTTGAGAGCGACTATACAATGTTACTTTCTCATTAGCATTAGCTTAAGCCTGTTTTGCAAATAAAAAAGGGTTCTTTACACAAATAGCCTGCGAAATTTACTGTTTACTTTTTCTAGCTAGTATACATAGATTATACAATAATTATTCACGAATATACATATTAAACATGAATAATACATATTAGAATGTGGAATTCACTGTTTACTTTTTCTAGCCAGTCTACATAGATTATACAGTATGTATATACGTTTTACGTATATTATACATGAATAATACATATATTATATACCTGCTGGCTATTTTAAGTTTAAATACGTGGACAAGTGGTTATCTAAGTTAATTCTTCCATAAAGAATACGCTTTTGAAATATCAAATCAAAACATGAAAACGGTCTTATCTATTAGAGCTATCTTTTGATTTAAACTACCAAATTTAAATTTAGAAAACAATTATAATTCAAATAGTATTTTTAAAGCGTTACTTCAAAAAGTATTTCCAAAATGTGACCAAACAACAGTAAAGCTTCAAAGTGTAAGTACGTATGTATACATAAGTATTACTTACATATTCTTAACATGGTCAAGTTATACATAGTAATATATCAGGGTTATTTTCGCATGTAGTCATTAAACTTAATTTGTATTACGAAAATCGCAAAACTATTTTTCGATATATATATATATATCAGAGAGAAAGAGAGTCACAAAACTCAATAATTTAGTTCTTTACAGACGAAGAGAGGAGTTCACATAAGCTAGAAAAACTCTAAAGCTCACACTTATGGATATTATGATTAGAAATCTTCAACCATTTAAACTAAGAAAAAATATGTCAATACCGAACTTGAAAAGTTAATAAAGCCTAACCCCTCACCCAAAGTAACTAGCTAGTATCGTCTGCATATAGAGTGATTGTTTTTGTTGAGTTCATATCAGCTATATAAGTTCGTATGGATTTAGAGAGATTATAGCTAATTTGAGAAAATTTAATAAGCATGCAATTTTATATCGATCTAAGGTATCTTGCCCCTTTATACACTATAATTCGGCATAGTGTTCATCTATGGATTAATTAGTGCATTT